TATAAAGACTTCACATGCGGAGAAGACTAAGCTAATCTTAAGCTTGGGAATTTCAGGATATCTCGTTGAATGTTTTTTCTCAAAATAATTTTGCTTACGACAATGCTGATAAACCTGGCAAAACAGCTGCTTTTTTGAAACTTTTCATCATTTTTCTACTCTTTTTGGTTTTTCTTTTCAGCGTAACCAGTAGCTAAATCAATATAAGGCTAAGACCTAAGATTTCTGTGTCTAAGAAATCTTATTGTGTGGCAACATTGGAGCAATTTCGCTCTTTAAATTCACGTATGTGTAGAAAAAAACTGAAAAAAATTGGAAAACTTAAATTAAAAAAAAAATAAAAAAATTGTTTACTATTCTCATATCAAATTTCGATTTTTCAGCTGTTTTTGTGTCTGATTTTGAAAGCAAAGAAACCGCTTAGAACGTTAATTTGACTAGTGAACCAGTAATCTCAAAGGTGCTAAAGTTGCAGGAGCGCTCGCTTCGGGACCCGCTTGGTTTCCCACTGATAATTTTTGAATGCCCCTTACGCTTCTTTATATTAGATGCCGTTTTTAGCACACTATGATTATCAGTATGTTTTTGTCTGCTTTGACTACTCCTTGCCATAGTTTAGATTTTCCTTGATCCTCCCCCCCCTCTCCAAAAAAAAATTCCACGACTTCTCCCGCAAAATTGGCTGTCATCTCCTTTAGCAACATTGTGAGGTCCTCGACAACCAAAAGTTATTCTTTGATTATGAGAAAATAGCAGAACAGGTAGGAAGCCGTATGTTAAAGAAGTGTGAAAAATTAGTAATATGACCTGCCCTGCTTGAATCTATCTCGCTTTGCTCACTAATTTAACTCATCTGCGCCGGTAACCAAGCCAATTAGTGCGCTTTCAAGGTCTCACGGGATTTACGAGAGAGAAGTGAAATTGATCAAGCATAGGATTAGGTACAAAATGTAGCCAAATCATGGCTTTCATCGCTTTCTTCCAGGATTATAGCTGTACTAGTGAAGGAATGTCAGTCGTCGTCCTTGCCTATCATTGTCTAGCCATGCATCATTCGGTAATGAAAGTTCTCAATAGGAAGCATTCATCAGCTGTCGCCGTCTATGGATTTTATGCAAAGCACTTTGGATTTATTAGCTTGCAAAAAGTACTGAGTTAATTGGAGACACTTTTCTAAAACCTCATAGAACGGTCACATCATTTGATTATTTGCAAAGATTAATTTACTTTATCTTTCGCTCAAAAAAATGCTCCAGAAACAGTCAAATTACGTAGTTAACATCATTTTAGGCAAATAGGACATCTCAGGTGGAATTTTTTGAAGCATTTTGTCCTTTGAGTCTCTGCCGCAAATACGGGATTTCTGCTTACTATAATATTTGAATTTCCCGACGCCATTTATCCCCCCCCCCGACAATCGGTTTCAGCTAGTCACCTGTTGATCATATACATTTCAATGTACAATTTCCTTCTCAACATCACAACCGATGTTCATCCCCAGATCTCAAATTTCATGCGGATGCTTCGAACACGATCTTGCACTGAAGTATCTTACACAAATTTAGTGATTGCTTCGAAATGTTGCGTAAATAATTTTCCTAAAATTCTGTGCTAAGCTCATTCCTTACATGACTAGCTTTTGTGTATTTACTAAGAATTATTGGTAATTTTTCTTTGCAAAGTGATTATTTTTTATTATAAAATTGTTAAAACAAAAATTGTTAGATTTATGCCACAAAAAACTGTTCAGTGGCATCGCCCTCTAGACTAAAATGTATAATAAGTAGCAAAACACTAGCACAAGGCCTTTTTCACTGGAAACCTAGGCAAAAAATAGTTTTCCTTCACTTCCGCCTAGAAAAAGAACTAACCGGAAAAACCTTTTTTTACAAACTTGGTTTATTCTACTAGGTTTGCTGAAAAATAAGTTCGGTCGTCCTAAGCAGTTAGTTTGTAGAAATGTTACCCCATTTTTGTGTGAATATATGGTACCTTTGAAAAGAGCAAATCAAGGAGGCCTGGGAGGTTAAATGCTTGTTCAATAATTATTTTTGTGATAAGGAAATGAAAGAGTACAAAGAAGTAGAATAGTTAGACTTTTTCCTCAAATTTTCGAAATCGTGCTCCAAAAAACGAAATGAACTTAGGTAGAAAATGTAAATTCGATACTCGCACAAAAAATTTTCTTTCCATCCATTTGCATGGTCACAAATGATCAAATTCGAGCAATTTGGATTGCCCAAAATTTGGCTTCCACGTGCAAATGCCTAGAAATTTTTACATTTGTGGCTGCAAAAATTCACCGACAGCATACTACATGACTACATTCTCAAATGGAGTTTGAAACTTAGCCAAAAGCTGTATGTATCCAACAGTCAAATCACTCTTCTGTGCACTCACTACAGACTGACAACGAATCTGGAAATTCAAAAAAGCGTCCTTGGAAAGTCTGACCCGATAAGGGTAAACTGTTTTTGGTGACAGATAATCTTGGCTATTGAAATTTGAGAATAGAACTTAATGCTATCTTCTTAGGAAAAAAACCTTGGCTGAATAGCTGCTGTATGAGTTGCTATAGAGCTTTGAATTGTGTCAAAACGATTTTATTTATTAGCCAAACTAATATATTGCGGATCCACTATTTTTCCTGCAAATTAAGATCTTATATTAACTTTCATTATTTTTCTTTCTGGCTTGATTGCATAATCGAACATGATGAACAAAAAATGACGTTATGTAGTATATGATTCTGCTAACTTTATTCTTTCATTAAAGTTTTGAATAGAAAATTTCATTCTATGAAAAAATGAGCCAAAAGGTCCCTTACAATATCAGATTACTATTTTTCACTTGCCAAAAATGTGTTATCCGCACATGCTGTTATTGTACACACAGTGACTCAATATGTATTTTATTCGATTTACGTTTGGAGTTTTTTTTCTTCCTCTTAGCTCTGAAGCAGCTCTCGGGTGGTTTATCTCTGATGCATTTATAAGTGCATTTATACTGGAGTGGTTCCTCTTAATCTCGCCTTTCCCGTCTCTTTTCAATGTAAACAGCTGCTAAGAGCTTTGGGACAAAGTAAGGACAGGAGGTTCTTCTAAACTTTTCAAAGCTTTCAAAAAATCGATATTTCATGAAAAAAAAGCAAGTAGAGGGGTCGCATTTCAAAATAACAAGAGTTGTTTTGAAGAAAACTAGCTTGAAGAGTTGTTTCCTGGAATCAGCGAAGTCGGGAAAAATCTTTTGCCCCCCCCCCCACTCCCCGCTCAGACGTCGGTATCCCCCGTTTGATATGTGATACGTCGTCTCTGCGGGAAGAAACAGCAACAGCCAGCGCTCCCCCCCCCCCCTGGTCGTAGCAACGCGGTCACCTCGTCTTTTGCTCAGATCGTGTTACGTTCACGTATAATTGATTTAAGCTCATAATGGTCACATCTCAGCATTGAGCATGGCAGAAGGCGTGGCGCAATCATCCCCCCGTCCTTTGCGTGGAAGAACCCGTGTATCAAGCGACGGGGGCGGAGTTGGAGCCAACGGGGGCAGGCGGCGGGGCCGATGAGAGGCGAGAGGTGATGTGCGCGGTGCGTTGTTGTCTTGTGCCTGGAGCTTCCTTCTCAGTCAGGAAGTTGAAAATTTCCTTGACCCAAATTTTTTCCTAGTTATAATTTTTGTAACGTATTTATTTGATCGTTAGTCCTTCTGCCCTCTTCTCTGCTAAAATTTGATTTTCGCAAAAGTTCTTCCAAAAAGAAACCTGCTCAGGACATTTCTCATTCGCATTATAGATGTTTCCATTATTTTGACATTTCGTTTTTTGATTCTGATGCTCTAGTTGTGTTAATTGCTGCTCATCATTCTATTGTTTTTGTAAAATCAAATTTCAAAAACTTTGGCACACGATTTTTATGTGAAACGTGAAGATTTCCTTTCCGAATACTTTTTTCAAATAAAAAAATCCTGTTTCAGCAAATGACACCTTACCTTTTTATTTTTTGGTGATAATAATTATTTCAAGCCAGTTGACGTTTACTGATTTGCGGTTCTTGTGATTCTCGGGAAAACCTCGTTCAATTTCTTTGCAGAAGCTGTGAAAAAAAAACCGTTTCAAAAATGGTACGAATATGAAACAGGAGGCAGCTACCGTTTGTATCTTTCCGTCAATTCGACCACTCCTCGCCATAGTTCCAGATAAAATTTTCTCCTCGATTGCCCCTCCCCCTCCCCCCAGAATAAAATTTCTGCAATTTTTCCCGCAAAAATGGCTGGCATCTCCCTTTACAATATTATGGGTGTCCTCGACAATCTGGAATTGTCCTTTGATTATGGAGAAAAATTCTCGTTTTGCAATTTTTTAAGAAAAATGGAAAAAATCCCGTTTTAGAATTGATTATAAAGAAAGCGCATTTTACCCAAATAGTTCTTGCTCTCTAGTTCTTTAGTCTTGTAATTTGTGAGAAGCGGAGAGATAGAACATTTTCATTCTTGAAAAATATTGTTTGAGGTTTTTTTCAAAATAAGATACCGTTTTACTGTTCCACTTTCTTTCTGTAAAAAGTGGAAAAGAATCCTGTTTCAGAATCAAGATAAAGATACGTAGAACAGCGCATTTTACTCAGTTCGTTTTCCTTCTTTATGTCATTGGCCTTGAACTTTGTGAGAAGAGGAGGACTACACTGTTTGATTATTGAAACATATTGTTTGAAATTTTTTTAAACTTGAAAAGTTCACAATTTACTGTCAAGTCAGTTTCAGAAATGACATAAGTAAGGATCAGCGCAGCAAATCCTCGATCGCTATTTTTATCGTTTTGGGTGCTCCATTCCTTACTGTAAATTCAACTCAATTTTCGCGGTTCTCTCCAACTACTCGAAACTCTTCAAAATGACGCGACCATCAATTTTTTTCAGGCCCTTCAACATCGTCCCCACATGCCTCCACTTGATTATTCATTCTCATGCTATTGATACTCGACATCGTGCATCGGCGGGCATGTTGACATGGTGCTGATGAATGCTTTCATCCTGCTACTGCTACATCTCCACCTATTCATCATCGCAGTTCATCCCGAACCTGTCACTAATCATCCGGAGTCCGCAATTATCCCCACAAATCCACGATCAAACTCGAAAGTCCATTTACGCAAGCATAGCGCCACTTCCCACTACGGTATTTACGCTGCAAATCGTTCCAGTTGTCGATTTAAAGGGCCAATGATCCCGTGCGAATGTCTACTTGAAGTCTCTGATACCTATTATCTGGAAGAGAACGATGAACGGATAGCAATGTTCGCTGTGGGACCCCCGCACATAGAAATTCATGTGCCTTCACATCATGATATGCTGCATGAACTAGATGTGCAAATTGTACCCAAATTATGCGTGAAGGAGAAGTTTACTGTAAAATTACTGTATCGACCTGAGCAGCTGCTACCGGATGAGACGTGGAGTACGGTAGCTACAGAATCTACTATTCTTCATAATGAGTTGGTGGATATTGTGTTTCCATGCGAGAATTTTGCAAATGCTGGAATCTACAAAATTGCTTTGGTTAACTCCGTTGGATACGAAATAGAGGTAAGTATTTTTGTCGGAAATTTTTTTATGCAATTATTTTCATTCTCGAGAAATAATACGTCAATTATCAAGCTAAATTTTTTTGTAATAGCTTTTTTTGTAATTTTTGAATACCAGATTTTTTATTTCTGGTTCAGTGTTTCTGCACTTTCCGGGTTCCTCTAGTTAGAGCCCAGCTGCGCCCTCTCCCCCCCCCCTATCCTGGTAAAAAGTGGATCTTGAAATTTTTAAAAATGCTGCACGGGTTTTGAAACTATCCGATCTGTGCTTATTAGAATTTAGAATTTCGTCACTTTTTTTAAGGATATGCAAGAATCAGATTTAAAAAATAAGAATATCGAGTACATAGAAAACATCATAGACTGCATCGATTTCTTCCCCCCCCCCCCACCCTTCAAGAATGGTAAAATTATCGGAGCGTTGATATCTTGAATTTATGTAAGAGAGTGGTCTTTGTAAATCAAACAAAACTAATTTGAGAATTTTTCAATGATAAGTCGAACTCGATAAAAGTATTTTCTCAATTCGACAAATGAATTTATGTTACTTTCCTCCTTCTTAAGGTTATGCGATCTGGTTGCCTGGTATTTTTTACCGACCTCTCCCTACCCCCTCCCCCCTCTTCTCCCCAAAATTGATCTCAAGACATTCCCGGTCCTAATTTTTGGCCGAATTTTCATCAGTCGTCGTTGCTCGTCTGCTCTTCGCTCGTTGACGTGACGATTTTCTATGGCACTTGATAGCGAGGGTAGAAATTGCAATGGCACACAGACACCAATTCCCCTGGGGCCTTACGGGGACCCGGCTAGAAGCCAAAGATAATTACATTCGCTACGGTTCTAAATCGCCGCACCCGTAAGGCGAGAGGGTGCATTTATCTACGTATTCAATCACAACATCATTTCTGGCTTGCGTATTTCAGGATGTGCAATGGATTCGGGTGAATGGAAGTGCGGGAGTTTCACTGGAATTGAGAAACGATAGCATTTTTCCACATTGTACGAAAGATTTGGCCGTAAAATGGAAGACGACACAATGTGAAGCGGCTCGACTCAGCTATCGCATACGAATTTTGGCCGTTCCCGAGGGCAGCTCTAATCATGAGCATCGTTCACATTATATTGGTAAGTTAGCTTTATTTTTAAGGGTCGTGACGCTTAATACCTCAAATTGGGCACATATATACTCGTCTTTTTGATGCAAGATATATTTTAACCAATTTTCTGCAATAACGGCAAAAGTAATTCCTCACATTACATGATATTGGTAGCTTTTGTTCTTTCTAAAGGTGAGACACTTGACACATATGCAGTTTGGCACCAGTTTCGTTCTTTTTGTGCAGAAAATATCTTTTCCAAAAAAAACTTCAAAAAAAAATGATAACAGTAATTCTCAAATTATTCACATTATACATAATGTAAGTTGAGTTCTTTCTGACGGTATGGCACGTAAATTGGGCACCAGTAAACTCATCTTTTGGTGCAGGATATTTTTTTGAGATTCATAAAAAAGTTCTGTTAAGAAATTATTATAGCGGTAATTTTTCATTGAGTAATTATGCAATAAAAAAAGGATTGAACCCATAAAGCAAAGGTGTAGAAATTACAAACATGGCAATTATAGTTATTCGGAAATGTCTGCTTTATCGTTGTAATATTATTTTTAGGCAAGCATATTCTAACATCTCCTTTCATCTGCAATTTTCCTCATGACTGTCACTTTTGATTCCTTCTTTCCTTTTTGTTTATTTCAACGTTTCCAAACAGGGCTCGGCAAAAACGATACCAGTATCGTTTTTTTGACGAAAAGCAAGGGGGGTTTCGTTTTTGTGACCGAAGAGAGAAGCAAAATTGGCGACTTGGCGACGTTTTTTTTAGTCCACGTTTCGTTTTTAGGGGGATTTTGGGGAATTTTTCAGCTTTTTAGAGGAAATTTGGTTAAGGGTCAAAGGAGACTTCGTAAAAATTCCCAGAAGTCAAGGAGGACTTCGTTTTTTCCATTTTTATCTAGCCACCTGTGCCGACCCCTGTTTCCAAATATTAATGAAATGCTCCCATCTCATTCTCATTATGATCCGCTACCATATACTTATCGTAGGCTCTATATGTATGTAACTAGGAAGTGATTTGGAGCGTAGAACAGAATTTTGCTCACTGTTTGGTTAAATTATGCTAAAAACCATTTAATTGTAATGAGTACGATCATATTGAGTTTTTTTTCCATACGCAAGCTTCTTGAGATTTTTGAGACCAAAATTTTTTCGAAATACTTGCCAACCACCCAATATCTCTCGTGCTCCCTTTTTTCAAGTGCCAATCTCGTCATTCGCCCTTATTTTGCATTCTCAGTGCCAAATTGAATTACTCAGCTGCATTTCCGCTAATACATCGCATTGAGCAGTAGATAGTTATTTTTTGGTCCTAAATTGAATTTTGAAGCTGTGCAGCAGTTGCTTTATTTATTGGCTTTGAGTTACAACTGTGAGTTCCATCTTTTTGCACATGCTTTTATTAGGGTGTCTAAAAATCACTTATACAATAAAACTGGCAAAAAATCTATGGCAAGATGTATGCTGTTGTTGGAAAATAATTTTAAAATTCACTGTTACATGACTGTCCAGGTTTTTTCTTGTTTCTTATGATCCTCCAAAAAATCATCTTTGAATTTTCAACGTTTTTATTTGCCTTGACTTTTCACAAATGATAATTTTGAAAAGTTTAGAAATTTTCATTTCAAAGTGAAAATTTTTTTGGCCGAAATATAGGAAGCTGATTCCGTTTCCTTCCATAGCCCTAGTTTTGTTCAATTTGCCTCTAAATTTGCTCTTTTCTCTTAAAACTCGTCAATTTTTCTGCCATAGTTTAGGTACTAATTAATTCTCTTCATTCAACCCCCTTCTGATATTCTCGAAATAATTTGGCTAAGACAACATATTTAGATTTATTTTTTCTTTAAAACTACTTGCAACTAGTCTATGAGCGAGAACAGCGAGTTGAGAAGTGGCCTCTTCTCACTGCTTAAGACCAAGGATGCGTTTATAATTAATGTAAACTCTTCTCGTTTCCTGGCGGAACTTCCTATAATTCATCGAAAAGTGCTTTCAAATGCATAGCATGTCAGAGACTTTTTCTTTGACTCGAAGTATGCACGAAAGTGAAGGCAAACTTGGAAACTCTAGAATATTCTACTTCTAAAAACTTTGCGAGAGGTTTTGGGAAGTTCCAAGCTTTTACCATTACTGTTACTGGTTTGACTCGAAATGGATAACATGGATAGAATAAAAAATAAAAAAAATTTAGCGCAACCGTTTCGATAAGCGAACCGTTTCTAAATATTTTTTTATCATGTAACTCATTTTTCATATTATTTTTTGTCGAAACAGCTGTTTTGTCGAAACAGCTTAATTCTATTTTTATTTTTTTAGAGGAAGTCGACGTCACTCATGAGCAAGCCCTTCTCAGCATTCCTTGCTCACAATTCGACATTTACTACGTGAAATACTGTTTCGAACTGGTTTCCGTAGAAGCCAAAACGTCCGTCTTCCATCTCTGGCGAACAACATGCGTAAATACAGAGCCAGGTTGGTTGTAGTCTACTTACCGTATGCCTACCGTACCCTGCTTCTTTGCAAAAAATCAAGAAAATAGTAAAGTGCACGGGTAATTTCCTTTGTATACGTACTTATATGAATGAATTTCACGCTTGGCTACATTCGCATCCCATTCAGCGCCAGCCGACTCCGGCTGACTCTCAGCGCCTGCCATATTGGCTCATGTCATTATATGCGGCAATTACTTATATGAGAGAGTTGTGGGGTATATACGGGTTGCGAGGGGCTCATACTGCGTCGACAAAGCCAATCACGCTGTCGATCACATAATGAGAGCGTCTTGGAGAGAACTAGTAGGAATGCATAGGTTGAAGGAAGAAGGCGGGGGGGGGGGGAAGGAGGTGAGAAGAGTTAAGCGAAAGATTGCGAAAATGGTTCGCGGAATATGCGGTAAGCTACAAGAAGCTAAGACAATCAATGAGACTTATCCAGATTTTAAAAGATACAAATATGCTCTATAAAACATTTTCCCTTTTGAAAATTTCTGGGAACCACGCCCTTTTTGCTGAGATTTTGGGACACCACGCCCCTTTTTGACCAAAAAATTGAAACATCACACCCATTTTCATCAAAATTTTGGGGCAAGCCGAAGTTCTATAGATTCCCTTGAAAATTCTTGATACAGTTGGAACACCCTTTTATTTGAAAAAATTGGGTAGCATCCTCCTCCCCTCCTCTTTCGCGAAGAAATATTTCACAGATACTGATAGTTTTAGGTATATTCTGCCACTATTGGCTAGTTTGATCCAATCACTACATAGTGGAGTGTTCAAACAATTCAAAGACACATCCATAAAACTTCCTCTATCCCCCCCCCTTCTCCTACTTCCCGGGCGCCCCTTTCCCCTCCAAATGCTTCCCACTCTTATAAATACAATTTTTTGTTCAAACACAGCTTGACTGTGAAATTTATAGACAAACGCGCATGCCCCTCTCCCCTTCCCCTCCCCCGGAAGTACCCTTCCTTGCAATGCTCCCAAGTCTATACACTTTTGATCCAAATCGCCATCAGAGTGCTCAATTTACAGAGATCGCACCCTCTTTTTCTCTATACCCCTTCCCCCCAAAAGATGCTGCCCTCAGCTTCTTCTATAAATATAAAGTCGTTGAATTAGCAAATTAAGACGACACACCGTGCAGCAGCTCCTTGCACTTACATTATTCTACGTACTCTGCCCTTTGCAGACAGCTTTCTGGAATTAATTGTGCCTAAGGGAAATGACTTTCCGGGAGACAGAGCGGAACGGACGGGAAGGAGAGGAGGGGGGGGGGGCAAAGATGGGAGTATCCGCTTGACTCTTGTATATTCTTTCTCGGCATGATAAGTCCTGCGAGAATGTGGAGAATGAAGCGAGTTTGGGTAATATGGTGACTTACTTCTGTCATTTTTGAAACGGGAATTTTCTCCACTTTGCACAGGGACTTCCTGTTCTTCGAGGAGATTTCTTTTAAAGTAAGAAATCAATAATTAGGTAAATCAAACACTAAATAAGTAAATAAATAAGTAAGTACATAGTGAATGGTAGCGAGGGGGGATCGAGAAACTATCCAAGGGTCGATGAAGCACTTGGTGGGGCAGACATAATATCGCTAATCCCGCACCGCTTTAGGCCTCTGAAGATGACGAGTAGTCGAAACGTTAGGCCACTGATGTAATAAAGAGCTTCACCAAAACCTCGAGTTGGCAAAACAATACTGACCACACAATCTCAAGTATGCCGAGGTTTCAGCAAGAGAGGACGAAAAACTTACTGACTAATGTGCCGCCACAAATAGTGCCTCTCCTGCGGGAAGCATTATCGCTCCGCCAGAAAGTAGTTGCGATCCGTCAATCCTTGAAATTTCTGAAGCGATGTAAGGCGAACAACATGGTGCCCCGGTTCATTTCAAATAAGAAGTTGGGAGCAGTATGCAGTCTTCCCGAGGATCATCCGAAAATGAAGAAGATCTACCGCGTCATCCTTGGAACTGTGATAAAAGAAAAACAACATACGCTGTTTTCCTGCATTTTGAAATGTAACACTAAAGAACAGGCCTGTCAACGCCTTCTAGCTACTCCGACTTGGAAGAGGATTGAGAAAGGATCGAGATTGATTTGTGAATCTGTTCGATCTAGCGCCAAGTCTTCCCTTCGCGCAAAGTACGACAAACTCTTGAGCGCTACTCGTAAAATTCAAAGGAATGGTGGAAGCAATGCATTCGAGCAAAACCGCAATGTAAGTGACATAGCTCAAAACGAATGTCTTGATTATACGGCAAGAGTTACCGTAGTCGGCAACACTCAGATTTCCGATAATGCGCGTAAATTCCTAAGCTTGGGTCCATCATTCTCAATTGCTCAGAACGTCAATGAGGCTGTATTTCGCAAAGTCGTTACTGGTCTTCACAGAGTACGCGATCAACTGAGAATAAGGGCCAAGATTAACGAAAAGCGCGATCCAAATGCACAAGAAGTACGAGTTGAGCAGCCACTTCCCCATATTCCGTTTCCAAGCACTTTTTATAGAGAGCCTCTACCAGTACCGGAGGCAGATGTCAAGTTTAGAATTCTATGCTCAAACGTTTTGACTGCTTACACACAGCCAAAACCATATCGCCGCACTAACTTGACTCACTCGGAAATGCTTGGATATAGGGAAGTACGCGATTTGATAAGATCTGAGAAAGTGCGCATCTCCGTCAGTGATAAAGGTGGAGAATTTGTGGTCATACCTCAGAATCTCGATCGAGAAATCACTGAGCTTCATCTCAATGACAAGAGCGTGTACCAGCGAGTATCCGAAAAGGAATATCATTCGCAGTACAAGAGATTGAATCATATTTGGATGAGCACAGGCAAAGCAGCTGGCCTCAACGAAAGCTTTCTTAGCAGACTCAAGCTCGATACGCCAAGTTGTCCGGTTTTCTATAGCCTTTTGAAGACCCACAAGCTTACAAAAGATGACGACATTTGCTCGATGGCAGCCAGACAGTTTCAGATAAGACCTATAGTAAGCTGTACTGGGGGTCCAACCGATAGAATATCTTGGTTTTTGAATAAGATTGTTGGGCAATTACTGGACAAAATACCTTCCCATTTTGCGAACACTAAACAATTCCTCGACCGCTTAAAATCGTGTAAATTTGAAAATGGATGTATAGCTGAATCATTTGACGTAGTATCTCTGTATACTAACGTCCAAAATGAAGACGCTTTACAAGCGGTATCTGAAATGATGGATGAATTTAGTGCGAGCATTCAAACCTTTGGATTGAGCAAGCATCACATCATGGTCCTGATCCGAGAATGTTTGAATTGTAATATCTTTAGATGGTCAGGCACCTACTTTGCTCAAGTAAGAGGACTTGCAATGGGACAACGGCTTGCTCCAGTTCTTGCAATATGTTTCATGAGCAGGATCGAACAGCCCGTGCTGTCAAGACTTCCACTTATGTACTGTCGCTACATAGACGACTGCTGTATTGTAACATCCACTCAGTCCGAAATGGACGAGTGTTTCCGATTGCTCAATCAGCAGTCGCAGTACATAAGATTCACGCGCGAACAGCCGTTTGATGGTTGGCTTCCGTACTTGAACGTTCAAATCAAACTGTCTGGCTGCAACACAAATGTTAAATGGTATCGTAAGAATAGCTCCAAAAACATCTTATTACATGCTCGTTCGGCACATCCATCAGCCGTCAAGAATGCCGTTATCCGAAATATGTTTAGAACAGCAACACAAGTGTGTACGGGAGAAGAAGAGCAGAAAGAGTCGCGAAATGTTGCACTGAGCATCGCGAGGAACAATGGCTATCTGATGCATCATGCTCGTGGTAGACCATATTCCTCACATAATACCGCTCAATATAACAACAAAATAGCGCTCTGTCTTCCTTTTGTCTCGGACGAAATCTGTGTTGCAATACGGCAGAGTATTAAACGAGCGCAGCTAAGCAACGATATCATTTTAGTAAATGTTCCGAGCGATAATTTAAAGAAACGGCTTGTACGAAACAGGCTCTATGACAAATATTGTATCTCGAAAGAGTGCGTTATTTGTCCATATAGCAGCATTGGTGACTGCGCGAAGACGGGAGTAATATATCAGATAGAATGTTTAGTTTGTGGAGCTAGCTATATAGGAGAAACCGGAAGAGCACTTGGCGTGAGAGTTAGAGAACATCTCGCCAATAAACGAAAAGGTAATCTAGTCTCGCCTCTCGGGAAACATAGACATGAGTACCATTGCGGCGAAGACTACGAAATCAAGTGTACAATATTGGCTTATGAAGAAGATACCTCTGCTCGGAAAGCTCTCGAAGCATTTTGGATCACGCGCAGAAGACCGCTTATGAACAACAGAAACGAGTGCTTAGCCGTTACGAATGACCTCATGCCGTTTTTGTCACTCTGTGAGCTATGATAGGGTAGTGCGATGATTACATCTAACAATGAGCTGCTCAATGTGGCTTATTGGCACTACTGTCACCAAGGAAGCGGTCGCACATACCATCAAGTGCACCGGCGGTGGAGCAATGGTGCGTTCGTCTTTCCCATCTTGCGGATTTTGCTTGTAAAACTCGAGGGGGGATCGAGAAACTATCCAAGGGTCGATGAAGCACTTGGTGGGGCAGACATAATATCGCTAATCCCGCACCGCTTTAGGCCTCTGAAGATGACGAGTAGTCGAAACGTTAGGCCACTGATGTAATAAAGAGCTTCACCAAAACCTCGAGTTGGCAAAACAATACTGACCACACATAGTGAATAAATAATTTTTTGAAGTGCACTTTTCAATATATTCGGAGAATTTGAAGCTGGGTTTTTTCCTTTTTTGATGAAAAAATCTTCAAAATTGGATTCTTATGACATTCCAAAAGAGGCGTCTAAAAGAGGATTTTTTTGTAACTTCCAAAAAAAATTCTAAAATTTTATTCTTTCACTCTCCGCCGAAGAAAACTCTGCAATGGGATTTTTCCATTTAGCAAAAAAAATCTGAGACAGGATTTTTTTTCGTATTTCAAAAAATTCAAGCAACTAGAACTTCTGTTCTCTTCTTTAAAAAATGTTTACATTTTTCTGCTCTAATTCCTATTATCGATGCAGACTTTTTCCCAAAGGAACCAAGTGTGGACAAATCCCGCTTCAGGATCGTTGTGTACGCTCCGTTTTGCATCTACGCTATCTCTGAAAAGGGATTTTTTGGATTTTTTGCAAAAAAATTTTTTTCGTTTTTTCGTAGTGCTTTATAACCATAGTTTTTCTTTTACTAGATTTATTCTTGTCACAGTGCACTTTTGATTAACAAACACCGCTAAAACACAGGATTTGCCCTTTTCTCGCCGCTCAACTACGGTAATTCGTCAAAACCCCGACCCGACAGACACAGACAATTATTAGAGAAAACATGCGTTATTCATCAGAGCAGAGTGCAAGCGGTCATCACTTGAAATGCGCGTTTGTATGGGTTTGCGCGAGAGCAAATGCGTGGTAATTGTCCGAGCTACACATCTGTTCCCGAGAACAATGTGCTCAGCTTTGACCCGCTCACCTTGCTCGCACCCGGTAGCCATAGGGATGCGCTACTGTGGTGTTACGAGCATCAGCCACAAAGGATGCGCTTTTAGAACTAAAGTGCGGATTATACGGGGGAGGGGGGTAGGGGGTAAGGGTCATCAAGGAATTATAGAGATCTGATTGAGTGGTGATAGCTTCATAGGTTTGATTAAGCCATTTAACAGATTGGAAATAGGTATATAATCGATAATAGACATTTTTGTTGGTTAGGTTGAAGATATAGCTTACAAGTAGACTAATTTCTTATTTACCATTTTTTTGCTGCTTTTTTCGAAATTTTTGAAAGTTTTACATGAGTTATAAAAATGTGCAAGTGATTTGTTTGTATTTGCACATAATGATTTTTTTTTGAAATTTTTCAAAAATCCAAGCCAGCCTTGTAAGGAAATCTTTTAAAGGCATGGCTAACTTCCTTCTTCTGGAATTTCAGGGTTATAGGTTCGGGAAATTTTGGGGTTATAGGCCTGGGAAGTACCTAACAATTTTTTTGGAGTGCTTGGATAGTGTCACGCACTTTTAATCGAAAAATCTTTTGCTCTTCTCTCCCGGACGGAAATTATACCGCTTCTAAATAGCAATAGATAGCAAGCCGTCTACAAGCCGTCTACAGTATCCAAGTCTCCCCCCCCTCACCTTCTGGACTTCACATTGACGAATGTGATGGATTGCTGTCTGTTAACATTCCTAATGACTGTCATACGCTTGACACTCGATGAATGCATTGACATGATAACATATGGCCACTTACATGGGGCTTAATGGCGCTTTCAGCGAAATCATTGGTTCGTGGGGAGAATGGGCATAAAAAATGCGGCCGTTGAGAGGACTTTGAGTACCTGGACTTATTTTGTGGACTTTATCGGCTCTTAGTAAGCCAGTGCATAGGCGGAGCTCATGTGACTTACTTTTGGCCAAGAAATTGGATTTTAGACTCTCTCGCCCAGACCGTAACAGTCAGTGTACTCACTTACGGTAATAAGTACGGTCTGGGCGAGAGTTGAATATCTTGGTCCTAATATCATATATCGCCTCCTCGACGGGTCTAACAATTATTCTAATTGCGTCAAGTCTTTGATAACGTAAAATTTAATCTCAATATTTTTCCAGCTGTTGCCGCCAATGCCACATGGTCCGGATGGTCACAATGGTCGGAATGTTCGGCGACTTGTGGTGAATCCACGCAGAAACGATACCGGTTCTGTGAAAATCCAGAGCCTAAACGAGCCCCGGATTGTGTTGGCGATATGATAGAGACAAGGCCATGTGTGGTACCGGAGTGCCCAGGTACGTATCTTGATTTTCTCCTGATATTTTAAGGTCCATTATCAAATTTAGGAAGACTCAAAGCTCAGCCGTTGCTCGCAAATTGTTCTTGTGGTTGTGTACTCAGTGGAACTTCTGGATCATTCTTTGCCACAGCAGCGTAAGTTCTTGCGGAGATTTTATTAATTTGGGCGAATTTTTACCAACATTTGATCTTAAATAAGATTCTGGTTAACTATGTAAATCCAATAAATTTGATCCCGTACCCAAAATGACTTTTGTCCCTCTGCTAAACATTTCAATCCACGCATTCAATTTAACGATGATATAGATTCACCTAATTTCTGTAACAGCGGTAGGTCAATATTTTTTTATAGAGCGCGCTTTTCAAGACCACGAAATATTTAGTGGATCAGCTGAACTTAAACGAAATTCATTAGTGTACCTATGAATAAGTATTTTTGTCTTTGCACCGAAGGCATTTTTACTCTTCTTTTTGCGGTAGAGAATGTGCTTGGACTCTCTATCAGCTATGCTGACTTTGCAGAAAATTAGCTGCAGGTCAACATTTTACGATAGAGCGTACTTTTTCAGAGATGCTCAGGTTTGTGCTGGAAACCAAACATGGTCGATGCCTGCTCGTCACAATAAAGCTGTCGCCGATTTCAAAGTTGTCACTGATGAAGAAGCTCCTGGAAAATTGTTCTTTTTCTTAAGAGCTCCATATGAGGTAGGCCGAAACTCTTTACTGGTTGAACTGAAGGTTTACAATTTTTAGGAGCTGGTTTGGTTTTCTGGCTCGAATCAAGATCAGGCATTCACTTTACGGTTGGATCGAGCAATTTTTATTGTATTATGGTACAAAGGGAACAATTCTGAGATGGAAAGAAAAGGATACACGATTTCTTATTCAACTAGAGGTTGGTCTTTCTCAAGCACCTCTTCTCCCCCCCCCCCCTCCCCAATGATCAGTGTACTTCTTAAAGTCTTGCACTTATCATGCCAGTTCAAAATAACATTCAAGTACATTATATCCTAAACAAGGCTTTCCACATTCATTTCCTGACACCTCCCGCTTTCCTCTCTCCCCCCCCCCCCTCCCATCCCCAGACACCTGCCTGACCTTCCATCCCTAGGTGGCTCCGGCTAATTATAGTGGATGAATACCAGACCACATCCGGAAACCTGCACCAAAGCTCTGTTTAATTAAAGCAATCAACTCTAGGCAAAAACATGCTTAATGATTAACTGGGGTTTGGAGAAGTAATCAAGAAATAAGAGTTTCTCTTGCTCAAGTAATAGTCGGGGAAATAAATTAACAAAAACTATGGATCCGAAAAAAAGCCGTAAGACAGCTTTCACGATTTAGAACACTTCGACAAGTTTTTAATGAGAAAAATCAGTCGGTAGAAAAGGGGAAAAAATTTAGCAGGGGTCAAATATCTCGAAAAATCTGTTGAATGCGAAAAATGACAGTTGGACAATAATAATGACAATAATAAGGGAAGATTTAAGGGGTTGCATATTATTTCGAAAATTATGTGAAGTGTGAGGATTCAGCACTTGATAGGAAAGTAAGTAAAAAAAAGGAAGCAAGGGCCATATTTTTGAAATTAAGAATTAAAGCGGCTAAGCGGAACGGCACTGTACATGGATAAATAGTCGGAAAAGTGCATTTTGGGATACGGTAACTTCAAATGTCTTCCGTTTTAATTGTCCACATTGATTTTTTACCCATGTGTTTCAGAAATCACTACCCAAGTGCCGACTCGTACCTCACAAACATGTCAGCCGCTCTGCCCAGAAACTGTGATCATCGTTCTTCTCTGCCTTCTCTTTCTCTTTATCATCTTCATACCTCCATTCTTCTGTGCTGCCATGACGAAACGATTACGAAGGCGAAGCTGTCACGAACGTCCGCTCATCGATAAAGTGTGGGTTTTTAGAAGTTTTGAGATTTTTTGAAGGTAATTGAGATCAATAATGTTTTATTTTCTAGCTATGATAATGATATGATTCGATCGGGGAATACCGAATGTACACAAACAAGTGGAGAAAAGCCGTCGGGATACACAGCTCAGAGGAGTATTGGAATTCAGCTGAGCGTGCAGAGTACACCAAGGTAAGAGCAAAAATTTGAAGTAATTTTGCCTTTCTAGTTGCTGGATGCTGTTGAACGTCAGTTTTTTTTTACCGGGGGAGGGCGAGGGGTAGTGCATAGAGTCTTACTTAATAGGTCCGTGAATTTTTGTGGAGAGGGGGGGGGGGGGGAGCGAAAGGGATGTGGAGCCGAATGCTATACAAAAGCACGTAGCTTAATCTCCTTCTGGAAAATTTCAGGAGAGGTCCTCAAAGTTTTTGATCTTCTAATCGTTAGATTTTGAATCCCCCAGTACTTTATTTTAATAAAACTAATCTGATTTTCAAATCTAACAAAAAAGAAGGTTGCTTGCGCTTTGTACTTTTGCTTAGACCATTGTTAAGAATCTTTCTCCCATTTTCGGGAAGGGTACGAAAACTAGAAGGGTGAACTTCAAAATTTGAGCCACCTAATTTTTCTACCCTCTCACTTTATCCCTTCCATTTCCTTCAGATTTCTTAACCTTTTCCTCCTTTTTCGGAAATCACATAAGACGAACAGTAAAAAACAATTATGATACTCTTTCATTTCCGCCCTTCCCTATTAGCCCCTCACTTTACTCTATTGGGGTCAGGTGCTTAATGAGGCCATATGGAGGGCGAGACAAAACAAAGCCGGTGCTTAGGAGCAATTTGTAATAGTGGCTATGAGAAAAACGCGTGTTTTTGTCATTGTCGTAGAGGCTGGCATTATTCAATTTGAGAATGGAGGGAGAATCAAATCTTTCCTGCTTGGGATGACAGGGAAAATTCCTCAAATACACAAATACACAACAGTCAATTTGAGCATAACGAGGCCGCTTCGGCAACTATTATGTGATTGAATTGTGAGAAATTCAACTTTACATTCTTGCCCGCTACCGTACCCAAAAAGCTGTTGGTCTGAAAGGTTACGGTGTCGGGAGCGAGTTCGCTGATGAATTTCTCTGTCACCAATGAACATGAACTCTCAAGTGGACATTAGCTTTAGGCCCTCCCCCACCCCCCCCCCCCCTTCCCTCTCCCCCTCTACCACCCGAATTATTTTCATATAAGAAGCCTGCAGCTATTGTGAACAGATATTTCTAAAATTTGCCTCCAAAACAGATCTAAAAGTTTGAAACAGTTAAATTTCCTTCAAAAATCGACATCAATAGATCACTTGTCCAAATGTATTTTTGTTGTTTCGTAGAGAAATCTGTTTCTTCCTCATTACAGATGTGCCCGAACATTCCTACCCACCGATTCGCCCACTCCTCATGGAACGACCAACTCAACCGCAGATGAGCTGGAATACGACTATTACGATGGCACAACGATCCCTGGATCCCTGCTGGCTCCAGTGAATGACTACTTGATGTGTGAAATTGAAATTGATCAAATTATAGCCCAATCGTCGTTGTACTCAAAACCGGTCGACACTCATGACGTTTATACTCAGGTTTAGCGTCGCTGCCTACCTCAGTAGAAGCTTTCTGAAGAATTTGCACGCTTTCACAGTTTTGCGCGGTTCAAATTGTCTGGGCCAAATTAATTTCACGCCATATTAGATTGATGTTATGGGTCTTATTTTAAAGGGTATTTGAATCTTGAGCTTTGTTTTTCTTTGTAAAAATTGATATCCTTGATATCCCTCATGTGATTCGAAAATATCTAGGTCATGTTTTGTGCCAAGTTTCCAAACTTTTCTGAAATATGTGCAACGCATCTTTGTACAAGATAAATGAGCTTTTATTTCTGCTGTCCTATAGGTTTGACAAATTCAATTTCTGTACAAATCAATCGAATAGAATATTTGCAATGTTTTTTAATGATCTACCCAATAAATGTTGTTCTTTAAGTTCTGAATGAAGCAAAGTATTATCTAATATATAAAGAATCGCGAACTCAATTTAAAAATCTGCAAATGGCGAGAAACCGCATGGCGGGTCCCGTAGCGAACGCTCTTGCAAATAGCACTTTTAGACTACTGGTTCACTAGTTTTAGCTAAGCGAAAAAAAAGATGAATTATTGAGGAAGTGGTCTATTCGGTCTCATATGCGCTTTTTGTCCATGTCTGCTGAAAATCAGTAAAATAGCGAATAATCGCTTTTGCAATCTGGAAATCCTCAAAAAGTCTCGGGGTATATTCTTTGATGCGAAATGCTAAGATAGGATGCTACTTGTTGAAACGAAGAAATTTGAAAAGATGCAGATTCAGCCGGAGGAATTCGATAATATCCTCCAGTCACTTGTAACTCGGATCCCACACACTATGCGCGCTAATTGACGAACTTCTAAGATTGCAGCCTGCCCATTTCCAGTAATATCTCCTTGTTTCCTTCCCCCTTTTGATTTGTTTGAGTAAGTATTAGTTAACTGCGCACACTTTTACAGTCTGTTACGCGATAAAAAGTTTTAGTGAGAACTTACCGAAGAAGGTGTCGTCGATCGCTGCGCGCTGTGTGCATGCTCACATATTGGGTTACGTTTGTCGACGACATGTGCAATCGCACACAGTCTGCAAGTTTGCCTAATTTGCCTATTCTGAGTATGGGGACGCAGACTTTTCGAGTCTTTCTCTGTCTTTATTATTTTTGCATTGGGGACCCTAATTCAGTATACAATACTTAGAATATTTATGAACTATTTGATGAGAATCACACTGTTAAAAAATCGATTTAATATCAACAAGATGATTTGCTTTCAGCGCAGATTATTTTACTCCTGCGAGTAGATTCTGGCTCCTTAATTCGGAATTGAAACTCAAATCTGTTCAAGCAGCTGCAGAAGCTTGTCATATGCGCTTCCACCACCAAAGTTCTGCGGAATTTCCGCAAAATTTACATGATTGCAAAAATTTTGTAATGAAGGCCGCAAAGATGAAGCAACAATAGAGGTGGAAATAGTGTGGGCAATCAAAATCGGAAGCTCGTTAAGATAGTCAGCTCGTCACTGCAAAAGTAGTCCTGCGGAACTTCCGTGGAAGCAAAAAATGCTCCGGAACTTCCGCAAACCCTAAACGTCTTCGATCTTTCTGCGTTCGTGACAAAGGCGGCAAAGATAAAACAGCAACAGAGGTGGAAACAGTGTGAGCAAGCAGGAGTGGAGTCAAGAGTGTCTCAAGTCTTTATACACTCGAGCTTATGTTTGTCTTGGCGCTGCTGAAGAGCTCGCCGAGAGTCGAGGCGCGCAATCCGCCTGGCTCTGGCTAGCGCTGGATGGATCAGCAACCTTCGATGACTCTAGTAACTGTCGCCAGTATTCTTCTCATATTCATAAATTCACTATGTCTGGCTAGCAACGCAGAAACAAAGTTGTTTTCTGATCTACTCAGCGGTAGGGTTTTCTGCGTTAATTTTTGTGATTATAATATATACCCAGAAAGTTTACGTAAACTTTTCTTTTGATCCTACCGCTAAACTGTTTATACCCCCCCCCCCCTCCCCCCAATCATCGCGGCTCGAAAGAGTGGTCGTTTCAGTGATGATCGTTAGAGAACTGAATAAAGGATTTGAATCCTACCTGTCTTTCTTCGAAATGCTATGCTCCTACCAATTCCGATTTCTTATTGTATAAGATGGACATAAAATGATGTTATGTAGGCCTTCCAAAACGTTTTCAATTACACTGAAGAAATTTTACATAGTGAAACCGCTCTTTTCTTGTAAAAATGATCAGGCAATCCTCGAAAGACACAAAACGTCAATCACTTCGTCATTGTAAATCCTAGCAAGAACAAAAAATGGATCTGATTACTTAGTTCACAATTCTCATTTTAGTGCAAGATTACGTAGTGTTCGGATTTTTCATGAGATTTTGAGCTGAAGGAAATCGATTTTGGCTAGTTTATTTTGGTCTTATGCTAAGAGGAAGTTGAGAATGTTCTGAATTCTGATAACGTAAAATGTCAACTGTAATAATTCAGATTCATCTACAAAAGAAGCAGAATGGTGCCGTTCACCGAATTTGCAGAAATAGTACGGTTGGGGTACCGCACCCATATGATATGTTGATGGTCCTGAAAAGAAACTTGCTACTACCTGTGGCGCTACATCGCTATTGCCTAAATCTTCTTTTTTCAAAAATAGTTTACAAACAATAAAGCCTATCCTCCCTGCGACAATCCTGCACTTTTGCACCTTTCCGGTCCTTCAACGGAACCTCAGAATTTATGTAACATGGTGTGATTGCGGTGATTGCGTACACATGCTACATAAGATACAGTGATGTGCCAAATATGACGTCCTACTTCAGATGAATCATTTTAGGATACAATCCACTCGAACGTCCAGTCGCTAATGCATCTGAACCGCTGACTGTAAAGATTAAAATGTTTTTGCAGCAAATTTTGGATGTCGATGAGAAAAATCAGCTTGTTTCTCTTAACGCTTGGCTTAGTTACGTAAGTGGGCGAAAAACACAAAATTTTTAATTCAGCTTAATTTGACAATTTTCAGACCTGGCACGACTACAGTCTGGGATGGGATCCAGAAAAATACGATGGCATACAGGATATTCGTTTTCCTGGTTCAGCTGATCACATCTGGAGGCCGGACATTTTACTGTACAACAGGTGATTCCCAAGTCCTTGGCTCGAAATTTGGCGGAAAAATCAAATTTAGCGCAGCTGAAGACTTTGACTCCACTTTTAAGAGCAATCTGCTAGTCTATTCCTCTGGTGATGTTAACTGGATACCACCTGGTGTACTGAAATTCGTTTGTAAGCTGGATGTCACATGGTTAGCATAACGTTCTAAAGGTTCATTATGGTCTGTAAATACCAAATTTAGGTTTCCGTTCGATGACCAGGTGTGTTACCTAAAATTTGGCTCATGGACCTTTCATGGCTATGCCTTGGATTTGGTGATTGACGCGGAAAGCGAAAATCTAAGTTGGTATATTTGTCTTCCAAAATTTTTTTCCATAGTAAAAAAAACCTGATAAGCTTTGAAAAACAGTAACTTGCCTTCGAAAAGGAGCGGAAGTTCAATTTTCAAGTCGAAATTAGTTGTATTTCTTGAGTTCTGGAAGACGTTTTCTCGCTGAACTCTTTTTCTTGCTAAAGTTTTCGCCTATAAGTACTATGACCCTATCTAGTTCGATTTCTGAGTCTTGCTTACGGCTCGGCACAGGTGGCTTGTAAGCCAGCTGGTGTCGTTTTTTGGGACGAAAAGCAAAGGGGGTTTCGTTTTTGTGACCGAAGAGACACGGAAAATTGGCGACGGCGACCTTTTTTTTTAGTCGACGTTTCGTTTTTTGGGGGATTTTGGGGAATTTTTCAGGTTTTTAGAGGAAATTTGGTTGAGGGTCAAAGGGGACTTCGTAAAAATTCCCAAAAGTCAAGGGGGACTTCGTTTTTTCCATTTTCATCTAGCCACCTCGTGCCGAGCCCTGGTCTTGCCCCTAGCCCCCAAGCCTACGCTTTCCTTTCCCTGGATTCATGACATTTACGAGCGAGCTGTGAGGAAAAAAATTTCCGTCGTAAATTACCTGTTTGGTAGCTTTCGCATGCCAAACGATCCGAAACGTAATCCCGATACTACGACACGAAATGAAAGCTGGAATCTTACCGGAAGTCTACCACTACTACGATACTATAAAATGTGGGCAGATATATGTAGCCCTGTAAGAAAGTTCAGATAGAGGGTGGGGGAGGGGAAGGGGGGAGGACTAAGCTATTTATGGTTGGAGTATTAACTCAAACGATAATGATGATTTATTCATGAATCAGGTAAGCATGCAGTATTGTGCAGTAAAAGGCATGGGAAAAAGGGGCGTAGCGGGAGCGGGGTTGGGTTGATATTCGGTAAGGAGGAAGAGTCAGAAGGGATGCACATGCAGCCCTAAGTTCTTGAAATTAAAATTATAGCTCTAAACATAAGACAGTTAACCAAACCGATCTCTAGAAAATGATTCCTATTTTAGAAAAGAATCTTGAATTTTGTAAAAGAACTGTTTCTTGTTTGTTTGGAATGCTATGATATAGCAAGTCCAAAGATATTGATCGCTATCGATTGAGAGTTCCAGATCACTCAATGGATCTATCAACATATGTTGTGAATGGTGAATGGACAATTGTGAGTTCACCAGCTGTTCGAGAAGTTACCTACTACAAATGTTGTCCGGAACCCTACCCAACTGTCAAATTCTATCTGCACTTACGTCGACGCACTTTGTATTACGGTAAGAACTTTGTGCTGTGTGTAATTACAGAAGAGGAGATTTCTTCCAGGTTTCAATCTCATTATTCCGTCAATTTTGATCTGTGTAATGACCGTGTTTGGATTCTCATTGCCACCTGATGCTGGAGAGAAAATCACCTTACGTGAGTCAGTTATAGTATTTATTACCCCCCCCCCCCTCGTCTCGCCTTCGATTTTTTAGAGTTTTAATTCTAGAAATGACCATTCTACTGGCGATTGTTTTCTTCCTAAGTATGGTATCCGAAATGACTCCGCCTACCTCCGATGCTGTGCCATTAATAGGTACGAGCATTGTAATTTTCTTATTTTTACTATAAGCTTGTATCTCAGGTGTTTTCTTCTCGTGCTGTATGCTGGTAATCTCCGCATCTGTTGTTTTCACTGTGCTCATCCTAAATCTTCACTTCAGATCACCTGACACCCATCGGTTCAGCCCAATGGTCAGTTTGGATGGTGTTCTAATTTATCATTTTATCCAAGTAAATAGAAATGTAGGGATGAGGGAGAAGGAGGGGGAAGAGAGGGAGTCAAATATTCCCAAAATTATTGATTTTATCTGAACAACGAGATATAATTTTAACAAATAATTTTTTATCGAAACTGGTTTAATACAGTGTTCCGAATTGAGCTTATACCTCATATTTTGTTAAAGATTTGCACAGGGGAGACAATTCGCTGCTGAACATGAAATCAGATATCAACGTTTGGCACCTCCCTGTTGTATTACGGTAGAAGTACTGTAGCAAGTCCTCACGTAGTCACTCGAACTTCCCCTGACCGATTCCTTAGTGTATCCACAGTTTTTCAATGGGAATTCTGAGCTGCGCGTGCATTTTGAAATGGTTACCGTAATTTTGCAGAAAATACGCTTCAATATAGAATTGTCGACTTTATTCGCGATCATTTTGAGTGATTTCCAAAGTTGCGAGCGAACTGATCTTGATCCACTTACCGTATACTTACCGTACATTACTAATGGACGTTGCCGTACAAAGTGGTATTATTTCGATCTGCATGTTGATTAAGTTCTGTATATTCTTGAGATTCTAGCGCGTTGTGTAGCCAAAGGGCCGGGCATACTTCACGCGATTCCAGTCACGGCGCGATTTGGCAATTCGCCAGAAGTGTTCAGATCCAACACTAGCAAACTGCACATGCACAGTGTGTATAACTCACGTGGTTTGATAAAATGCCCTATCCTCTGTGCATTTTAAATGTGCATATAGTAAGTTATGGACAGTTGGAATATTGCCAAATCGCATCGCGACTGAAATCGCGTGAAGTATGCCCGGCCCTTTATTCTGAGTGAGGGAGAGTGGTGAGTGAAAGGGGAGGATAGAGTTTCAATGTCTTGAAAAATCTCCTATTATGGCTGACTAAAATGTTGGATAATGCTCTAGACGATTCAGACTAGCTGTGACGAGACCCTCGTAACGCTTCAGAACGATATGGTTAAACAAAGTCATATTTTTCCATAACCAGAATATATATCACTTTTGAATGAAATTTTTACGCTTTAGAAGTAGTGAATTTACTTTATTTTGAATTTGTTTATTCATTCAAACCTCAATTCATTCCGGAGTCCCCTGACATCTTGCGGTCAGATCACCTTCGATTTCAGGTTCGACGAGTTTTCCTTGAATGGTTACCGTGGCTTTTGTGTATGTCACGACCGGGCTATACATTCGTCGGCGGCAAAGCGATCATCGAAGATCCACCTCAACCACGTTTGAAACCTGAACAACTGCACAAAAACCCACTACTAATGCTGAATCCAGTCGCTGACGCACAACTCACCTTACTGCATGCCATCTATGCGGAAGTTAATGAGGTACGATGATTGAGCGCTTGAAAAGTCACCTGGAAAGGAAAAGCTGGGAGATGATCTATTATGAAACTAAAGGGAAGAGATGTCCAGGAGGAACTGAAAACGGTAGAAAGTATAAAATTATGCGAGTAACCGTTTCTTAATAATAGATACTGAAAGAATTTTATAGATTTTATCTAATTTGTTCCAAAATTTGTTCACGAAACGGCTCCCGCCACGCCTACTTTCTTCAATATACGGGCTCGGTTTAACAAAGAAACTCAAAGCTTTCCATTGTATTTTTTGGAAGCCGCGGTTGCGGCTAATCACATTATTGACAAAAACTCCTATTGCCCCATCCAATTTTTTGGAACCGCTGAAAAACTACAAAGCTATAACTACCAAGTAGACCTTGTTTATTTACTTTCGCTGAGCCAAAAATAAATTTTGATGGAAAAAGTGAGGCTAACATCTAGTCTCGACTGAAAGCTAGTCTAGCATTCAAATTGACCGAGAGGGCTAGGTGTCAGATTTTTTCGACTGCTAATGTAAAAAAGCGGATTGACAGGGCGTAAGGACATTTTTTGCCGTGGTTGCGAAATCCAGAGGAGAGGTGAAAGCCCATTCATGAGAAAAATGAAATAATATTTGTTATCATTATCAGATTATTTATGGTGCAGTATCCACTAGGATCTTTCACGCTTTTCAAATCTGATTCTCTTAGCGCAGTCGTGGGAAATGACTAGTTTGTTTTTCTCCTACTTTGGTTTAGAAGTGTTGCTTTCGGTACATGGGTGGGCGGAGCTTGATAGGATCTGAGCGGGGCTTGATAGCACTTTGGCTTTTCCAGGCCCATTATCTCCATTCAGAGGAAAACATTAGGGGACCGGACCAATGCAGATACCCCTTTCCTGGGGCCTTAATTCAGGATCTGCACTAATCGGTGTGAGTGAGATTTAGCCTGGATACTGCCTGTAAGTAGTGCGAGGAATTTGTTTGTAGTTGATGACAAATATACTAGAAGTCCTAGGCGAAGCCAGAGTTTAGCCGAAATTCCTAAAGAGTGCGAGTATTTTTACCACTGCATGCAATAAAATTCTTCATGAATATTTTGAAAGGGTGCTTTTAGAATAACATGCCTTTTGCTCCACCGCCGCTTAGGGATGAACGTCACTGGGTCTAGGAATGCAATTAATTTTTAATTTGAGGAAAACTTACAATACCAGAAAGCTGATTTGTTCCTTGTTGTGGTTGATTCTTTGACCTGGAGAGTTCATGCGACATTTTGAGGGGTAAGACGTTTAAGTGAACCCAAGGATCTTCGTATTATTTAATTTTTCAGACCTTTCTTATCGCTCCATCACCCCTCACCCCCCCCCCCCCCGCTATTCTTATTTCTAACATTATTTTTAAACGATTGCGCTGGCGAAAAATGGAAAGCATCATTACTTTGAGTGCACAGTACATAGTTCCGCATTGCGAACATCGCTACCCCATTTCATGACAGTGAGGTCCGTTTAAGAATGGGATCCTCGCGGATGATCCTGGGGTTTAATCCTTCTTTTCGTTATCGCTGTCAAATGCAGCTGAAAAATTGATGCCTTAATCCAGCTTTACAAAAAGGGATCAAATTTTCGCACTTTTTGACAGCGGATGTTGATTTTTTAGTGATTGACATGATTTTTCAAACATGAAAGCCCTTTCCGCCATTTTGGATGTTTAACGGAAGAATGGAAACTAACGTTTGCAAGGAGGTATGGCCCTCTTGGCACGATTTTATAGACGTTTTCAAATAGATCTTTAGGCTCATTTGCCTCAATACTTTTCAAAATCTTGCGAAATTTACTTATAGTTAATTTTGACTCTGTTAACCGTCTAGCTCAAAAATAAAGTTGGGGATTTCATGTCTTAGCTAAATGCCAAAAAAGCCATCCGATCTGTTGTGAATCGCAAATCAAGTACAAAAAGCAGTTCATGCTACGAAACCACATACGTCTAACAGCGAAAAAAAAAACTAGAAATTAAAACTGGATGCGGTAAGCTTTGAGCTACAAGATTAGGCCAAATATATCGTTTGTTGAATTTTTTGCGGAATGATAAAGTGAAGTCATAAGAATTTCTCCAGTTTGTCTCAAGAGCTAGTTTTTCCGGGACATAATAGGGATATTAGGTCGGTCTAAAGTTCGTTCGCACCTTTTTCAAAAAAAAAAACATAGTTCTTTAAATGAAATCCCTTGCTTTTACATTACTTCGGAAGCTAAAGCCATGCTCTTTAAAAATGTACTTTTACTGTGAGCTAATGCGGAGTAATCCGAGAGCTACCAGTAATCAAAGAAAATGGCCCGTAGTAAAGCTCGATCAGTTGAGGTGAACTCAACTTATCCCATCAGTTCACCTTAGGTGAGGTGAACTGATCACCGTCCACGTTCCCATGCTATAAGATGGTCAAGTCAATTGATAGTTGACCATCTGTCCACCTGCCGCAGTCAACTCTTCCACATCAGTTCACGTTCAAGTCACCTCAACGTGAACGGATGTTAGAGTGATCCAAATAGTGTGTAGAAGAGGAGACGCAGACAAGAGGTGACTGCATCTAACATAAGTTGCTCCTGAGTAACTTAAGATACACACAACTTTGCCAAAAAATGCAGAAAAAATCGGCGCAAAACTGCACAATACCGGCGCCCGAAAAGGGAAGGATCGATGAACAGCTGATTTTGGCGACAAAAGCAAGGATAAAAGTTTTCTTCTTTTTTTTGCAGAGCAATCTTAGTTTCTTGTAAAAACTACTTTAGAATAGAATCTACTTATTTATTACGTTTTACTTATGTTCCAAAAATTTCAGTTTTTCATGAATTCTCCGTCAAAATATGTCAGTTTTGTTTTATCTGTCCATTTGCTAAGTGATATCCTTGTTAGCGGTCATCATCGATTTTTTTCGACAGTGGCCGCTATCAAAGATTGTCCGGCGATGCAGCAAAAGTTGTGGCGCTAGCCGGTGTCGAAGCACGACCGCGCGCGTGTGATTCCAATCGCTTATCCGTTTGACCAGACCAGCTCAAGTGGTTGGTTTTTTGAGAACACATGTGGTTATCATGTCTAGGAAGCGACCCGCATCCAAATCAATAGCTCACTGGATGCTGGACTGAAGCGCGATGACCTCAACTCCGGTCCGCGTCGAGAGAGATGCCCGGATGGGGGGTTTACTACGGGCCAATGACTCACAATTGGCATTTTTGAGCAGGGTTACATAAAATATCAAAAGGTGCAGGAAGAAATTTTAAAAATATATGTAGCTATAAAGTAGTTTTTTGTCACGCAAAAAACCATTTGCTCTTACTCTCCCAATTCCTCGTAGTGGCCCAATCAAAGTAGATCTACCAATAGCATTATCTTTGCTTTACAAAAAAGAAGAAATTTCATCAGCAAAGAAGTTATAATTTGCAAAAAAAGGTGTGAGAGAATTTTCGAACCGACTCAGAGGCAGCATCCATCCATCGTCTTCTTCTTCCATGTTTTTGTCATTTTGGGGCCTTTATCACGCCCAAAACTGATTCCGGGGAGCCCTAACCTGCAGGCAAGACTGTCAGTACATCGGTAGGCGGAGCTTAATAGGGCGGGCGTGACTTGATAGCATTTTCGCGGGTTCCAGGTCCATTTTTTCCATTCAGGGGCCACATTAGAGGGCGGGGCCAAAGCAGATGTCCTACTAGGGCCTTGTTCTGGATTAGGAGGGGGGGGGGAAAGGGATAGGTTTTGTCTGGACGCTGCCCTTAATATGATTGTTATACGTAATACCATGATTGATTCCGCAAAAGAGATTCTACATCCTTATGGTATTCGCTTTTTCACCAAATTTTTTGCAAACTCTCATTTCTGTCGCTATCTTTCAAGCGTATCCTCTACATCGAAGAAAACCCTGTGTGAACATCTGCTTCCACAAATAGAAAGAAATCTTGCATAAATCAGCTTTTCATACTGGTTTCTGTTTTTTTTTCGTTTCCTTCGCTGTAATTGAGAGACGAGGAAAACGATTTTGGCGGCGAAAAAAAAACCTCGCCATAGCTGTCGGATCCAAGGACAATTGCTTCTTTTGTAGAGTTTTTTACACAATGTCATCGCTTTACAGATTTGTGAACACGTGGAAAAGGAGGAAGAAGAAGAAAGGATTCAGAATGATTGGAAATTCGCCGCAATGGCTGTGGATCGTGCTTGTCTAATTATGTTTTCACTATTTATATCGCTCTCCACCCTAGCCATTTTCCTTTCGGCTCCTCATATTATTGCCTAGTTACAAATCAAATTCAGTTGTCAAATATGTCTTGCCAGGATTAGTCGTAAACAATTTATATACGTTTATTCATACAAAAAAACGTTATATACAGACATTACACTAAAAACTACGCTTATTTTCCGGCTACTGCATATCCGCCACCCATCGGCGGTGGTGGCACCGCATATCCGCCGCCTCCAAAACTGAAACGAAGGAAAATTTACAAAGAAAGTTGGAAAGGGAAACTAGAAAGGGAATGATGGTTTGGGTAAGAAGTGATTAACCTACCCGCCACCTCCACCCATCGGAGCCGGGCAGCAAACCACTGTGCCACCGCCCATTCCACCCATTCCACCGCCTAGTGGAAGACAGGCCAATGACGATGAGGAGAGCAAGGCTAGTACTATTACTATTGAGCAAATCTGAAATTTTGGAATATAAGAATAATTTTGAAATTTTTGGTTTTAACTGGTGATTCACTGAAGGAAAGTTGATTTCTGATCCTGCAATATAGGAGCGTCGAAATCAAGACCTGGGCAGTTCTTATTAAATACTATCAACTCCGCATTTTCACTCTGGAGTTGATAAGGAAGGCACTGTTAGTGAATTTTTTCGAGGATTTTAGGAGAAGAAAGACTATTCTGAGATCTGCGAGCTACAAGTCGATCAAAAAAACCTAGATCTTTCACAAAAATATTACAGAAATTACTAACTTTCAACTTTTTACTTGATACTAAGTCTTCTATCCTCACTGAGGAGT